ATAGCACCTTTAAGAATGTTTTATCAAAACATACTAAAGAATGGTTATAGACGTAGCCTTCCGGATTGTTCGGACTTTGATTGACTTTTCGATTTTCTTACTCAAATGAAGGACAACTTACTGGACTTAGGAAGCAACTTCTTGCTTCTTCTGTAACATTCCACACTAATTTCCTATTACAATGCGAGTTACGCATTTAATAAATTCGCAGGGAGTTATTGGTCAGAAAGTCATTTTGTATCTGCTTTTACGTCATGTATTTATGAAAATTAGAGCGTTTTGCAATTAGCCATGTGAAACTAAGAATAAGCCAAATTTATGTTTTAGCGGTGTAGAGCCGGTTGCCTCCGTGGCCTTCATTTTGGATTTTATACTGTGTTTCCGTATTCCATATTGAATAGCAAACTTTTTTCGCATGAAAAGTCCTTGAGGCCCTCTTAGGCATTAATAATATTTTATATCAATACGATTCTTTGTCTTTTGCATTCAAAGATATGCGTGACGTCAATCTCAAGTAACTAAACGAAGGGTACTTTTTCTGTATACAAGGGTTAAATACATCCAGCAATTCAATACAGAATGGCGTTTTATTCTTCTGGTGCAACATAGCGTACACCTACGTATATATATTTGTGAACTTCAGTAGTTGCGGCCAATAAGAAAGAACTTCCGACTGTAGCTACCTTCGGCTGAATTTCCTTAAAAAGGCAGCAGGAAATCATTTGTGTACTGTCCAACATTCCTTGCACATTATTATCCTTGGTATTTTTTGCGTGCAAGGAACCAATTAACCAAAAACATAGAGCTCTGTGTGAACTCCAACTGAAGCTAATTGCATTCAGTTGCTGATTCGCGTTAGCTGTTGACTAGGCAAGAATCCGTTTCTTGACTGCCTATCAAGCCAACCAGTCATGTACGAACTCGGAAAAAGTAGTGATCCCTGACTGTCTTTGATTTACTTTCGTATTTGGGCTTGAGTGTTTGCACAACGGAATATCATTGCCAATCGGAAGGTTTTCGCACGGCATCATGAACCAGATGGCATGATTTTAGGTCTAGGGTAAACTGAATTTGAGCTCGAATCAGTTACTTTGAGGTTCAACCAATTTCCTGCTCATTTTCTGCTGATCATGATAAGGGACAATCACATAGCATAACGCTGACTTCTAGATCTGTCTCGATTTTAGGGTGGGGTGCTTTTCCTACCCTTCGCACTAAAGCTCTATCGAGAAACTTGACAAACAATTGCTTAACGATGAAATATCAACGAACGAAAGTATTTAAAAACAAATTCGCTCGGCTGGTGGGCCATCGCCGATTTACCCTTACAAACAACCACATTTGCGCTGTTGAAGTTCGGCGCCTAAGTCAGAATTAGGCTTGATGTCGGCTAGTGACTAACTCCCGAATATTCGTTTCTACTCGTGGCCGTGTCAAATTTATTGGGGAACACGTGATTTGAATACTATGCTCGCTGATATTTTTGTTGTATATCACACCCGATTCCGTTTCACAGTTTTTGGGTGGACCTTCGTGGACGCCGCGTAGTTCTTACCAGTCAAGAACACGACTGAACTGGCTTGAGGTGCCAATTCTGCAAAACCCTCGTTTATCCGGGTCTACGTCAGTCCTATTTCATGGTCCCTACTGTTAGGATTACTCCTAACGAGCGGTCCGGACGAGCTCGCAGGTCACGCTATCGGCCTGCCCGCACCCAAAGGCACACAAGCCCGTGCGGGCGCCTCGGGGTCACACAAGGCGGTCAGAACAAAGGGACCAGACGGCTAATCGAGCCGCAAGGCACATGAGGACACAATCTGATTGGTTCCATCTATAACCCTTCTTAACATATAGCCCCGTTCGAGGGGCAATAAACCGACTCCCTTTCCTTAAAGACCTTTTTCGTT